GAACAAAAATAGCTGTACGTTCTTAGAGATGCTTGTATATAGGCCTATATATGTGTGTGTATATATCACAATATTTTACCTGTATACACATATGTAGACATGCACACACAGACACATACATGGATTATTATTATTATTATCGCCATTTATATAGCGCCAATGGATTCCGCAGTGCTTCTCAATATTATTATTAACTAAATATAAATAGGACAATTACAAGAAAACTTACAGGAACGATAGGATGAAGAGGACCCTGCTCAAACGAGCTCCCAGTCTATACAAGGTGGGGTATAGGTACATTAGGACAGGGAAATAATGGACGTACATTACATACAAAATGTTTCAAATAAGAGAAAAATGACTGTAGTCTTCACTATTATTGGACAAATGTTCTGTAATTACTCTGAACGGGTACTCTGGTTATTTATAGAATGGTAATAATAGGTTTGAAATGATGAAGTTGTTTCTCTGGTCAGGGGAAGAATATGTCCATTTTTAATGTGATAAAATGTTAAAGAGATTTTTCACTGAAACCTCCAATAGTATTGAGTGGAGCTCGTCCCTTATCTTTTAAAGCATGCGCCACATCTAGCAAGATGTTCAAAGCACCGTGTTCAGCGGTTCTCCCCAGACATGACCTGCATGTAGCTATATATTGCTCCAAGGAGTAAGCCACCTGCCTGGCTGCATGCTACCAGCTGTAAAGTTTGGTGGAGAAGGGATAATGGTCATGATTTTATCGAGATCAGTGTGTGTGTGTGACAAAATCCACTGCACAACTTTGGGTTAAAATAGATGGCCAACTAATCGCCCAACATCACTGGTAGACCTCGTTCATCCTCTGTGTCTGAATGGGAACAAAACAGCCAGAGGGGAGTATGTGTCAGCAGTAACCAACTCCCTTTAAATATCCATGGCCTGGGACCTAGGTGTCCACATAGCTTCAGTCATGGAGTGGATATTTAACCATACGAAATCATAAGAACTGCATGGGAGTTTACAGCTAAATAGAGCTTCATTGTGCCAGATTATACACTGTCTGCCTGTCTCTGTCTGTATTGTTTATATATTAACCCTGTGCTGTCTGTCTGTCTGTCTGTGTGGTTTATATATATACCTATTGTTGTCTGTCTGTCTATATACTCATAGTTAATATGAGCTCTTTTCTGAGGACACAGCATGATACAGTGTGTGTTCTACTGCATGACACAAGCAGTGAAAGGGTTAATATATATGAAAACAAATATCTATACATTATTGCATTGTGGTAATAGAATGCACTGTGACCAGCAGTGAGGGTGTATGTATGTGTCTGTGTTTATCCATGCCTGTGTGTACATTTTTCTGTATGTGTTGTCTATGTGTGTTTCGGTTTGTGTGTTTTTTCCTGTCTATATGTTTGTGTTGGGATATGTGTGTGTATGTTTGATTTCTGTATATTTGTATTCATGGCTGTATGCATATATGTGTTCTGTGTATGTCAGTGTGTGTATGTATGTATGTATGTATGTATGTGTGTTTGTGTTTATATTTATTTTCTGTGTATGATATGTATGTGTTTGTTTGTGTATGTATGGATGTGTGTGTGTGTTTCTCTGTATGTATGGATGTGTGTATGTGTTTCTGTGTGTGTATGTATGGATGTGTGTGTTTCTGTGTATGTATGATGTGTATGTATGATGTGATACACACACGCCCCACACACACACTGACACACACACATCCCACACACACACACTGACACCCCCACACACACACACACTGATACACACACGCCCCACACACACACTGACACCCACCCCACACACACTGACACACTGACACCCCCCAACACAGACACACACACCCCCACACACACACTGACACCCCCCCACAGACACACTGACACCCCCACAGACACACTGACACACACTGACACCCCACACACACACACACTGGACACACACACACACTGACACACACACTGCACCCCCAACACAGACACCCCCACACACACACACTGACACCCACACACACACACACACACCACACCCCACATACCCACCACACACACACACCACACACTGACACCCCACACACACACACACACCCCCACACACTGACACACTGACACCCCCAGCACAGACACACCCCACACACACACACACTGACACCCCCCACACACACACACACTGACACACACACTGACACACACACACTAACACCCCACACACACATGACACACACACACTAACATGCCCCACACACACACACTGGCTTACCCCCACACACACACACACACACCCTCTCTCTCTCTCTCTGCCAGTTCTCCGTGAGCTTAATCAGAGGCTCCCCCAGTTTACTATCACTGGAGACATGACACCCCTCCATGTTTTACACATTAGAGGAAGACATCACATACAAGACATTATGTAGGAATCTGACCGAGGTTTTCTTACACATTTATAACGTGTTCTCTGTCTGAAAATCAAACAATAATTGAAAACTAACAAAAAGCTTTGATTACAAATATCTTATTGTTAAAGTCTTAAATTGCTTTTAGTTTAAAATCAGAATGGAATCTGTAAAATGAGATATCGTGAAATATGGTGAAATATCGTGAAATGAGATATCGTGAAATATCCTAAAATGAAATATCGTGAAATATCCTAAAATGAAATATCGTGAAATATCGTGAAATAGCGATGGTTTATATATTTACTGGGATCTTCACCTTTTACCAAAAACATGTTTGAATCAGTTATGTAAATACAGGAAAGCGATAAATACAAATAACAGAATGAGGTTAGTAAATAGCGGACTGGCGTTATTCCGATCCCAAAGCCGGTAACATTCGTTGGTTGGTGATGCCCAGGACACACAGAATATTATCTCAATGGATTTCGTTATAATTCATTAATTTATTGTTAATAATATCAAACTGCGCTGGAAATGGAATCAATGGGTCTGGGTGCTGTGCACCCCAATATCTACCCCGGGGTTTACTATCGGACATAGAGAACTGAATTCGGATTATTCTGTCAAATCGAAACAAACGTCAATAATCACCTGATAGAATGTGGCACAATAAACAGTGACACAAACTTGCACTGTGATACAAAGTGACAACATACAAAGTGATACAAAGTGACAATATGCAATGTGATACAAAGTGATACAAAGTGATATACAATATTCAATGTGATACAAAATAATATAATATACAATATACAAATTAATACAATGTACAATGTGATACAAAGTAATATAATATACAAAGTGATACAATATACAATATGTTACAATATACAATGTGATGCAAAATAATATACAATATACAAATTAATACAATGTACAATGTGATACAAAGCAATATAATATACAAATTGATACAATATACAATATGTTACAATATACAAAGTGATACAATATACAAAGTGATACAATATACAATATGTTACAATATACAAAGTGATACAATATGTTACAATATAAAATGTGATATAATATACAATATGTTACAATATACTCAGTAATACACTGTGATACAAAATGTATAGAGTAATTACAAGGTAATTAAAACAGATTCCATTTTATAAAGAATAATACAAATAATATGATATAAATTATTTGTAAATCGATACGATGTGACACAGAGCTCTGGTTAATAATAAATAAAATATATAACTATAACACCTACTATCCATTCATTGAAATATTTCATTCAGATCCTGGTGTCAGTTATTTCATGTTAAGCTGCTAATAAAGTGTAATTAAAGCCGTTGCCTGTATATAATGGATACACGTGTAATATGTAAAGAATACATCATTATGTATACCTATACCTGTAATACAATCGGGCGATGCTCAGGGCTGTTAGTGAGAGGAAAGTGTTCATTTGGGTCAGTAGAGCTGTATAACATTGTAACGCTATAATAATAATAATAATAATGTTACTAGTGGCAGTTAGTTCGGGGCAGTAAAGATAGGAGTATCTCTGGGACACTGGGTGAGGAAAGTGGGAATATTAGGGCAGATCAGTAAGTAACATATAGAGAAGCATTTAACCAACACATACATTATACCATATAGATATAGGGCATACAATATATACACAGAATATGAGATATACATATAATGTGTATCTATAGAATATATAATGCACATACAGGTTGTTAATATTATACAGGAGATATAAGGCATATTTACAGGATATATTGTAGATACAGAATTTTATTATACAGAAGGAGATACAGTGTATATACAGGAGATATGATGTATATACAGAATAATATATATATATATGCTATAAGATAAGGAGATATAATGTACATATAGTATAGAAGGTATAAGGCGATACAGTGTATATACAGGAGATATAATGTACATACAGTATAGAAGGTATAAGGCGATACAGTGTATATACAGGAGATATAATGTACATACAGTATAGAAGGTATAAGGAGATACAGTGTATATACAGGAGATATAATGTACATACAGTATAGAAGGTATAAGGAGATACAGTGTATATACAGGAGATATAATGTACATACAGTATAGAAGGTATAAGGAGATACAGTGTATATGCAGGAGATATAAGATAAGGAGATATAATGTATATACAGTATAGAAGGTATAAGGAGATACAGTGTATATGCAGGAGATATAAGATAAGGAGATATAATGTATATACAGTATAGAAGGTATAAGGAGATACAGTGTATATGCAGGAGATATAATGTACATACAGTATAGAAGGTATAAGGAGATACAGTGTATATGCAGGAGATATAAGATAAGGAGATATAATGTACATACAGTATAGAAGGTATAAGATATTATTACACATAAGGAGATACCAATCTCTAGGTTAGTGAAGCGGCAGATCGTAGAAGCTAAAAACTCCTGTTTAAGTCAGTGGCAGTCACCCCAGAAGGGCCCTGGGGGAGAGGTTTCACCCCACTTTCCCAGGGAACCCAATACAAAGCAGGAATCAGACACCCATTGCTCTGCTGGCTCTTTGAGGTTCTGCTGGGATGCCTGTTTCTCGGAGCAGCAAGGGTTAAAGGTGAAGCAGTTTTTAGGTTTGTAGCCCCCCCTCCAGCCCATGCCATTGGGCTGTGTGTCTGTGCTCTCCCCCTATTGGGCTGGGGGATTCTGACAGCCAGCCCCACACTGGAGACACTTTCCCAGCAGTCTGGATCAATCACTGAGAGGACAGCCTGGACTTTGTGGAGCTCTCATACTGGCCACCCAGGGGCCCCAAAACTGCCTGAGCAGGGGCCACAGACCCCTTCTCCTCCATGTAGGGCTCGGCCAGGACTCAGCTTGGTGGTGGGGCTTTGGGTTGGGGCTTTGGAAGGGGGTGCCAGGACTAGTTTTGGGGGGCAGACCATGAGTGACAGGAGGAGATCCGCAGTCACTCTCAGCTCCAGAGCTCATGCCTTCTCGGTGGAGGCTCTGATCGGGACAAACAAGAAGAGGAAACTCCGGGACTGGGAGGAGAAGGGCTTGGATTTGTCCATGGAGAGCCTGAGTCCTCATGGAGAGCTGGGGGAAGGAGAGGACACTGCTCACTGCCTGGACCTCAACCCTGGTGAGTACCTTGCTCTGAGTGTGTCCTTTGAAACCATTGCAGGAGAGTGTCCCTCAAAACCATGGCAGGAGAGTGTCCTTTTAAACCATGACAGGAGTGTGTGCCTCAAAACCATGGGAGGAGTGTGTCCCTCAAAACCATGGCAGGAGAGTGTCCTTTTAAACCATGACAGGAGTGTGTGCCTCAAAACCATGGGAGGAGTGTGTCCCTCAAAACCATGGCAGGAGTGTGTCCCTCAAAACCATGACAGGAGAGTGTCCTTCTAAACCATGGCAGGAGAGTGTCCTTTTAAACCATGACAGGAGTGTGTGCCTCAAAACCATGGGAGGAGTGTGTCCCTCAAAACCATGGCAGGAGTGTGTCCCTCAAAACCATGGCAGGAGAGTGTCCTTTGATTTAAAGCCATTGCAGGAATGTGTCCCTCAAAACTATGTTAGGAGTGGGTCTATCAAAACCATGGCAGGAGAGTGTCCTTTGATTTAAAGCCATTGCAGGAATGTGTCCCTCAAAACTATGTTAGGAGTGGGTCTATCAAAACCATGGCAGGAGAGTGTCCTTTTAAACCATGGCAGGCTGTGTCCCATCAAACCATGGCAGGAGCGTTTTACTCAGATGGCCTCCAAACGGGCCTCCATATAACATACAGGGAGCCAAGCATCTCCCGGGACATGGGAATAGTCAGTGTAAGGTGTGGTAAGGTGCATGTATGTGTCATGTATGTGGTGTGGTGTTTCATTTATATTTTCCTAATATTCCCCATTCAAGTCACACTATTTTTTTATTATTTACCATAAGACTGGATACATTATATCTCCATATCTATTTGTATTTGTTATAGAGTCCATGTCTCTCTGTATTACACCCTAATATTTGTTTTAGAGTCCATGTCTCTCTGTATTACACCCTAATATTTGTTAGGGTCCATGTCTCTCTGTATTACACCCTAATATTTGTTATAGAGTCAATGTCTCTCTGTATTACACCCTAATATTTGTTAAAGTCCATGTCTCTCTGTATTACACCCTAATATTTGTTACAGAGTCCATGTCTCTCTGTATTACACCCTAATATTTGTTATAGAGTCCATGTCTCTCTGTATTACACCCTAATATTTGTTAGAGTCCATGTCTCTCTGTATTACACCCTAATATTTGTTTTAGAGTCCATGTCTCTCTGTATTACACCCTAATATTTGTTTTAGAGTCCATGTCTCTCTGTATTACACCCTAATATTTGTTAGAGTCCATGTCTCTCTGTATTACACCCTAATATTTGTTAGGGTCCATGTCTCTCTGTATTACACCCTAATATTTGTTATAGAGTCAATGTCTCTCTGTATTACACCCTAATATTTGTTTTAGAGTCCATGTCTCTCTGTATTACACCCTAATATTTGTTTTAGAGTCCATGTCTCTCTGTATTACACCCTAATATTTGTTATAGAGTCCATGTCTCTCTGTATTACACCCTAATATTTGTTTTAGAGTCCATGTCTCTCTGTATTACACCCTAATATTTGTTTAGAGTCCATGTCTCTCTGTATTACACCCTAATATTTGTTAGAGTCCATGTCTCTCTGTATTACACCCTAATATTTGTTTTAGAGTCCATGTCTCTCTGTATTACACCCTAATATTTGTTTTAGAGTCCATGTCTCTCTGTATTACACCCTAATATTTGTTTAGAGTCCATGTCTCTCTGTATTACACCCTAATATTTGTTAGAGTCCATGTCTCTCTGTATTACACCCTAATATTTGTTTTAGAGTCCATGTCTCTCTGTATTACACCCTAATATTTGTTTTAGAGTCCATGTCTCTCTGTATTACACCCTAATATTTGTTAGAGTCCATGTCTCTCTGTATTACACCCTAATATTTGCTAGAGTCCATGTCTCTCTGTATTACACCCTAATATTTGTTTTAGAGTCCATGTCTCTCTGTATTACACCCTAATATTTGTTTTAGAGTCCATGTCTCTCTGTATTACACCCTAATATTTGTTATAGAGTCCATGTCTCTCTGTATTACACCCTAATATTTGTTAGAGTCCATGTCTCTCTGTATTACACCCTAATATTTGTTAAAGTCCATGTCTCTCTGTATTACACCCTAATATTTGTTTTAGAGTCCATATGTCAGGTCACAGTGTCAGATCCTTTATACATTATAGTATGAATAATATTATTAGTAGTATTATTTACTATTAGACTGGATACATTCTATCTCCATATCTGTTTGTACCATCATTTCATATAATGTGTCTGTCAGTGTGTGTCTGTCAGTGTGTGTGTCAGTGTGTTTCAGTGTGTGTGTCAGTGTGTTACAGTGTGTCTGTCAGTGTGTTAGTGTGGGTATGTCACAGTGTCTGTCAGTGTGTAACAGTGTGTCTGTCACTGTGTGTGGCAGTGTGTCTGTCAGTGTATGTCAGTGAGTGGCAGTGTGTCTGTCATTGTGTTAATGTAGGTATGTCACAGTGTCTGTCACTGTGTGTGGCAGTGTGTCTGTCAGTGTATGTCAGTGAGTGGCAGTGTGTCTGTCAGTGTGTTAATGTAGGTATGTCAGACAGTGACAGTGTGTGGCAGTGTGTCTGTCAGTATGTTAGTGTGAGTGGGACAGTGTGTCTGTCAGCGTGTCCACAGGAGTTGGCTATAGTGCATGTGTGTGTGTGTCTGTGCTGTTACTACTGAATGTTTGAGTCAGCGCATGTGCCATTGTTAATAAATGTGTATGCCAATGAGTGCCAGGGGTAATCATTATGTGTGCCAGGGAATGCCAGTGTGAGTCTGTTGTAAGCCAGTGTTGCCATGGAGTGCCAGTATGAGTATGTGTGCCAGTGTAATCAGTATATGTGCTATGGAGTGCCAGAGTCAGTGTGTGTGCCAGGGAGTGCCAGTGTCAGTGCCCGGGAGTGCCTATGTCAGTGTGTGCCAGTGTAATCATGTGTGTGCCGGGAGTGCCAGTGTCAAAATGTGTGCCAGGGAGTGTCAGTGTGTGCCGGGGAGTGCCAGTGTCAGTGTGTGTGCCAGTGTAATCAGTGTGTGTGTGCCAGGGAGTGTCAGTGTCAGTGTGTGTGCCAGTGTAATCAGTGTGTGTGCCAAGGAGTGCCAGTGTCAGTGTGTGTGTGCCAGGGAGTGCCAGTGTCAGTGTGTGTGCCAATGTAATCAGTGTGTGTGCCAGGGAGTGCCAGTGTCAGTGTGTGTGCCAGTGTCACTCAATCTGATTGCATGCGAACCTTACTTCCACAGGCCCCAGTTAGTTATAATCTGTCTTCAAAACTGCTCAATATACCTCAAAACATGGATTTTATATACTTATCATACATTTTATTTGCGTTATAAAAAATAAATACACAAATTATACTTTTTAAAATCATATTATAGCATTGCTTGTAAATATAACACATGTAATATATTTTACACCTTTTATAAAAATGAAACCTATGATAGACTTCCATATAACATGTGCCCGTCTGTTTATTATCAGTTCCCAATAACGGAGACAGTTCTATAGGGAGCAGAATAATCTCTATAATAATATCCAGTCAGTCTGGCAGTAATGGGAGTTATTCCTTTCTGGGGAGGGCTATCCCTTATAAACCTACATTGGAGTTTGGAAAAAATAAATATCATATAATATATTATAATGTAATATAATATGTAATACAATACAATATACACAATCTAGAATATATCACAGAGAATAATACAGTATACAGTACATAATATAATACGGTATGTAATGTATAATACAATATATAACATAGTATATAAAACAATATATCATACAGTATGTAATATAGCATAGAATACAGTGTGTAGTATAGTATATAGGGCAAATTATATAGTATATAATACAGTATGTAATATAGCATAGAATACAGTATTTAATGTAATATATAATACAGCATTTAATATAGTATATAATACAGTATGTAATATAGTTTATAATACAGCATTCAATATAGTATATAATACAGTATTTAATGTAATATATAATACAGCATTTAATATAGTATATAATACAGTATGTAATATAGTATATAATACAGCATTTAATGTAATATATAATACAGCATTTAATATAGTATATAATACAGTATGTAATATAGTTTATAATACAGCATTTAATATAGTATATAATAAAGCAGTAATGTAATATAGTTTATAATACAGCATTTAATATAGTATATAATAAAGCATTTAATGTAATATATAATACAGCATTTAATATAGTATATAATACATGTATAATATAGTATATAATAAAGTATGTAATATAGCATATAATACAGCATTTAATATAGTATATAATACATGTATAATATAGCATATAATACAGTATGTAATATAGTATATAATACAGCATTTAATGTAATATATAATACAGTATGTAATATAGTATATAATACAGCATTTAATATAGTATATAATACAGTATTTAATATAGTATATAATACAGCATTTAATATAGTATATAATACATGTATAATATAGTATATAATACAGTATGTAATATAGTATATAATACAGCATTTAATGTAATATATAATACAGCATTTAATATAGTATATAATACAGTATTTAATATAGTATATAATACAGTATGTAATATAGTATATAATACAGTATGTAATTTAGTTTATAATACGGCATTTCATGTAGTATATAATACATATATAATATAGTATATAATACAGCATTTAATATAGTATATAATACAGTATGTAATATAGTATATAATACAGTATGTAATATAGTTTATAATACTGGCATTTCATGTAGTATATAATACATGTATAATATAGTATATAATACAGCATTTAATGTAATATATAATACAGCATTTAATATAGTATATAATACAGTATGTAATATAGTATATAATACAGTATGTAATATAGTATATAATACAGTATGTAATTTAGTTTATAATACGGCATTTCATGTAGTATATAATACATGTATAATATAGTATATAATACAGTATGTAATATAGTTTATAATACGGCATTTCATGTAGTATATAATACATGTATAATATAGTATATAATATGTATATAATGTTGTCATTCTCCTGAATTCACCAATTCCTTAATATCTGATTGTCCGTTCCATTTCTTGTTACATTTTATTTGTATTTAATGGGTTAGGGATTCTATATATTTGTGATATTTTATAAATTCAGTGTCAGAGCTAGCACTTTATTCTGATTTTATATTCACATGATGGTTTGTTTACGGTAAGAATGTGATATTTGTGCTAAATATTTAGAAGCGGTATAAACAATACTGGGGATTTTACATCGTTCTAATGGGATACCGTGTGTTCTGTATCTGTGTTTTAAGTTATTACAAAAGCAGGAGTATTTTTAATACTTTATGATATATGTAGTGTGTTTTAATATATTATATTACACAGTGTCCTCCTATTATAATATATTATAAAATATGTAGTGTATTGTAGTATATTATATTACACAGTGTCCTCGTCTTATAATATATTATAAAATATGTAGTGTGTTTTAGTATATTATATTACAGTGTATTTGTGTTATAATATATTATAAAATATGTAGAGTGTTTTAATATATTACATTACACAGTGTCCTCGTGTTATAATATAATATCGGAGTGTGATTTAATAGATTGTATTACACAGTATCCTTGTGTTAAAATATCTGAGTGTGATTTAATATATTGTATTACACAGTATCCTTGTGTTAAAATATCTGAGTGTGATTTAGTATATTATATTACAGTGTCCTCCTGTTATAATATATTATAAAGTATGTAGTGTGTTTTAGTATATTATATTTCAGTGCCCTCGTGTTATAATATATTATAAAATATGTTGTGTGATTTAATATATTGTATTACACAGTGCCCTAGTGTTATTATATAATTTCTGGGTGTGATTTAATATATTGTATTACACAGTGCCCTAGTGTTATTATATAATTTCTGGGTGTGATTTAATATATTATATTACACAGTGTCCTCGTATTATAATATAATATCTGAGTGTGATTTAATAGATTGTATTACACAGAGTCCTCGTGTTATAATATAATATCGGAGTGTGATTTAATATATTGTATTACACAGTGTCCTCGTGTTATAATATAATATCGGAGTGTGATTTAATATATTGTATTACACAGTGCCCTAGTGTTATTATATAATTTCTGGGTGTGATTTAATATATTATATTACACAGTGTCCTCGTATTATAATATAATATCTGAGTGTGATTTAATAGATTGTATTACACAGAGTCCTCGTGTTATAATATAATATCGGAGTGTGATTTAATATATTGTATTACACAGTGTCCTCGTGTTATAATATAATATCGGAGTGTGATTTAATATATTGTATTACACAGTGCCCTAGTGTTATTATATAATTTCTGGGTGTGATTTAATATATTATATTACACAGTGTCCTCGTATTATAATATAATATCGGAGTGCGATTTAGCATATTATATTACAGTGTCCTCGTGTTATAATATTTATGGAGTGCGGTATATTATATCATTATATTATAGTGTCGTGTTATAATATAATATCGGAGTGTGATTTAATATATTGTATTACACAGTGTCCTCCTGTTATAATATTTATGGAGTGCAGTATATTATATGATTATATTATAGTATCGTTTTGGAATATAGAGAGTGTGTGTTATATTAATACATATGGAGTGTGCCTTCTCGCATTATAATATATTATAATATATGAGTGGGATTTAATAAATCACAATATAATGTTATCCCTGACATGTAACATACAGGGACAGGAATCTATAGGTATATTTAGGAAGTGATTTAGGTGATATAATATGGTTGTGTATATTGTTTATTTATCATAGTATATCGGTGATTATATACTGCGGTCTATTCAATAAAATTCGGTAAAACTGTCGATTTTTTTCCCAGCTAAAAATTCTGGCCTGCATTTCAAGTGAGATTTAACAGAATACTCAATAGGTCTGTGTTAGAATCTCCTGAGCTGCTGAGGGATATATTATTTATAATATACACAAAGCGGTTTATATATACTTTGTATCTTATGTTTAGCTGATTGTCATAGCGTGACTGTTTATCTATATAATAATCCACATTAATCTGTATAGAGAGACTGTGTATATATAAAGTCACTCATTTAATATTGATTTATGTTATATCACACATTAAATTTATATATTGACTGTGTGTAAGCAATACATCACTTATGTAATATCTGTATATATTACACGTTTAATCTATAGACTGTGTGCGTGTAATATATCACTCATTTAATATCTGTATATATTACACGTTTAATCTATAAACTGTGTACATGTAATATATCACTCAGTTAATACCTGTATTTATTAAACGTTTAATCTATAGACTGTGTACATGTAATATATCACTCAGTTAATATCTGTATATATTACACGTTTAATCTATAGACTGTGTACATGTAATATATCACTCAGTTAATATCTGTATATATTACACGTTTAATCTATAGACTGTGTACATGTAATATATCACTCAGTTAATATCTGTATATATTACACGTTTAATCTATAGACTGTGTACATGTAATATATCACTCATTTAATATCTGTATATATTACACGTTTAATCTATAAACTGTGTACATGTAATATATCACTCAGTTAATATCTGTATATATTACACGTTTAATCTATAGACTGTGTACATGTAATATATCACTCATTTAATATCTGTATATATTACACGTTTAATCTATAAACTGTGTGCGTGTAATATATCACTCATTTAATATCTGTATATATTTCACGTTTAATCTATAGACTATGTGCATGTAATATATCACTCATTTAATATCTGTATATATTACACATGTAATCTATAGACTGTACTGTATCACTCATTTAATATCTGTATATATTACACATTTAATCTATAGACTGTGTACATGTAATATATCACTCATTTAATATCTCTATATATTACACGTGTAACCTATAGATTGTGTACATATGATATATCACTCATTTAATATCTCTATATATTACAAGTATAATCTATAGACTGTGTACATGTAATGTATCTCTCATTTAATATCTCTATATATTACACTTTTAATATTACATGTTTAATCTATAGACTGTGTACATGTAATGTATCACAGATAGGGGGTATCACACCGGGGGTATCACACCGAACACATAGTGACTGTATTAAATAATATGCAAAGTGATATTACCATATTAGAATGATGTAATTAGAATGTAGCAGAGAGTATAAAATGTAATATGTATCTATATATATATATATATATAAAATGTGTACTATTTATGCTAGGTATATTATAAAAATCGGGAATGTGTGTATACAGAGGAAGAGGTATCATTATTATATTATTACACTAGGCAGTTAATGTAAAGCACATGATATATTTAACCTCTCAAGGACCAAATTTATGGAATAAAAGGGAATCATGTCATGTGTCCTTAAAGGGTTAAACGCCCGGAGATTATTATATTATTACATCAGTGAGTTAATATAAAACAGTTGAAGTATTTAATATTAATTCATACTTTTATTAGTGAGTTAACAGCATTTAGGATATTCTGGGACATTATTATAGCAATGATTTAATTTACTGTATTTAAATACTGTGCTATTATTATTATTATTATTATTGCCATTTATATAGCGCCAACAGATTCCGTAGCGCTTTACAATATTATGCAAGGGGATTTAACTATAAATAGGACAATTACAAATAAACTTACAGGAACAATAGGTTGAAGAGGACCCTGCTCAATTGAGCTTACATTCTATAGGAGGTGGGGAGTAAAACATATTAGGACAGGAATGTGCAATCAAATAAGGTGGGCTGCCCTTTAGGAGAGGGCAAGAGATGGGTATGTGAGGTAGGGGTTAGTCTTGGAGGCCATAAGCTTTCCTAAAGAGATGGGTTTTAAGGCACTTCTTAAAAGATGCAAGACTAGGGGATAGTCGGATGGCGGTAGGCAGGCTATTCCATAGGAAGGGAACCGCCCGCGAGAAGTCCTGCAAGCGCGAGTTGGCCGTACGGGTGCGGACAACGGACAGGAGCTGGTCACGGGCAGAGCGGAGAGACCGAGGAGGGACATGCCTATGGATCTGTGAGGAGATATAAGAGGGGCTAGAGTTGTTCAGTGCTTTATAGGTGTGAGTTAGTGCCTTGAATTGACTCCTATAGCACACAGGAAGCCAATGTAAGGACTGGCAGAGGGGTGAGGTGTGAGAGAACCGACTAGAGAGGAAAATCAGTCTAGCAGCAGCATTCATTATAGACTGTAGGGGTGCAGTACGGCTTTTGGGTAGACCAAGCAGGAGAGGGTTACAATAATCCATGCAACTTGTTATATTATTGCACCAATTAATATATTAATGAGTAAAAAAATGCAGTTAATGTATTTAACCACTGGGAGATTGTATTATTATATGGTTGAGTTATTTTAATAAAGTTGGGGTATTACAACACTGGGATAGGTTTTATTATTACATGATTGAGATAATAGAATGTAGTTGGGGTATTACAACACTGGGATAGGTTTTATTATTACATGATTGAGATAATAGAATGTAGTTGGGATATTACAACACTGGGATAGTTTTATTATTACATGATTGAGATAATAGAATGTAGTTGGGGTATTACAACACTGATATAGGTTTTATTATTACATGATTGAGATAATAGAATGTAGTTGGGGTATTACAACACTGGGATAGGTTTTATTATTACATGATTGAGATAATAGAATGTAGTTGGAGTATTACAACACTGGATATAGGTTTTATTATTACATGATTGAGATAATAGAATGTAGTTGGGGTATTACAACACTGGGATAGGTTTTATTATTACATGATTGAGATAATAGAATGTAGTTGGGGTATTACAACACTGGGATAGGTTTTATTATTACATGATTGAGATAATAGAATGTAGTTGGGGTATTACAACACTGGGATAGGTTTTATTATTACATGATTGAGATAATAGAATGTAGTTGGGGTATTACAACACTGATATAGGTTTTATTATTACATGATTGAGATAATAGAATGTAGTTGGGGTATTACAACACATGATTGAGATAATAGAATGTAGTTGGGATAGGTTTTATTATTACATGATTGAGATAATAGAATGTAGTTGGGGTATTACAACACTGATATAGGTTTTATTATTACATGATTGAGATAATAGAATGTAGTTGGGGTATTACAACACTGGGATAGGTTTTATTATTACATGATTGAGATAATAGAATGTAGTTGGGATATTACAACACTGATATAGGTTTTATTATTACATGATTGAGATAATAGAATGTAGTTGGGATATTACAACACTGGGATAGGTTTTATTATGACATGATTGAGATAATAGAATGTAGTTGGGATATTACAACACTGGGATAGGTTTTATTATGACATGATTGAGATAATAGAATGTAGTTGGGGTATTACAACACTGGGATAGGTTTTATTATGACATGATTGCGATAATAGAATGTAGTTGGGGTATTACAACACTGGGATAGGTTTTATTATGACATGATTGAGATAATAGAATGTAGTTGGGGTATTACAACACTGGGATAGGTTTTATTATGACATGATTGAGATAATAGAATGTAGTTGGGGTATTACAACACTGATATAGGTTTTATTATTACATGATTGAGATAATAGAATGTAGTTGGGGTACTACAACACTGGGATATTGGTGTTTAGTTCATTACCTGTAGAATGTCTAATGTATTGCATTTCTAAAACAAGTTGAGAATAGAAATAAAATAAACCCGGTTTTAGGGCTGTGAGGGGGAAGCCTATTATCGCAGAGCTGTATAAATCCTGTATAGAGATCTGTAGGTATCGCTATATATTTACTAAAAAAGGGTTGCTGGGAAATCGAAGTTCATTTAAAAGTTCATCCAAAATAGTTAAACTACAAAAATCCAAATCGAATAACTTGGCCTCAAACTTTAAATTTACTTTGAATTCTCAACAATTGTCATTAGAGGGGTAATTTACTAATGTAAGAAATCAACGTGAATTTCAAATTCAAGGCCAGAGCAGCCAAACTGGAGAACTTACACAGGCTGGTTGTTTTGACATTAAAATTGGAATTCAATTTGAAGTATCACTTCAGAAAATATCCCAGTTATTAGTAAATATCCCAATTATTAATAAATATCCCAGTTATTAGTAAATATCCCAGTTATTAATAAATATCCCAGTTATTAGTAAATATCCCAGTTATTAATAAATATCCCAGTTATTAGTAAATATCCCAATTATTAGTAAATATTTCTGTTATTAGTAAATATCTCTGTTATCAGTAAATATCCCAATTATTAGTAAATATCTCTGTTATCAGTAAATACCCCAGTTATTAGTAAATATTTCTGTTATTAGTAAATATCACAGTTATTAGTAAATATCCCAGTTATTACTAAATATCACTGTTATTACTAAATATCACAGGTATTAGTAAATATCTCTGTTCTTAGTAAATATCCCAGTTATTGATAAATATCTCTGTTATTAGTGGTCACACTGAGTGATATACAGAGTGCAGTTATGGTCACACGGAGTGTTGTGTTATACAGAGTGCAGTTATGGTCACCGTCAGTGTTATACAGAGTGCAGTTATGGTCACACTGAGTGTTATACAGAGTGCAGTTATGGTCACACTCAGTGTTATACAGAGTGCAGTTATGGTCACCGTCAGTGTTATACAGAGTGCAGTTATGGTCACAGTCAGTGTTATACAGAGTGCAGTTATGGTCACACTGAGTGTTATACAGAGTGCAGTTATGGTCACAGTCAGTGTTATACAGAGTGCAGTTATGGTCACTGTCAGTGTTATACAGAGTGCAGTTATGGTCACAGTCAGTGTTATACAATGTATCAAAATGGTACAGTGATACTCGAAATTAGCAATATGGTCACAAAAGTGTTATACAGAGTGCATTATGGTAACAGGGGTGTTATATATGAGATAGCATGGTCACAGTCAGTGTTATACAGAGTGCAGTATGTCACACTGAGATTATATGGAGTGCAGTTCTGGTCAACTGAAATTCCACAAGTCAGTTATGAATATTACATGCAATCAATAAAACAAGGAGTGTACATAGAACAATATTGGACCTCTGAAACGTATAAGCATGCATATGGTCTCAGTACTTGGTTTGGGCCCCTTTTGCAGCAATTACTGCCTTAATGCGGCGTGGCATGGAAGCTATCAGCCTGTGGCACTGCTGAGGTGTTATGGAAGACCAGGATGCTTCAATAGCGGCATTCAACTCTTCTGCATTGTTCGGTCTCATGTCTCTCATCTTTCTCTTGGCAATGCCCCATAGATTCTCCATGGGGTTCAGGTCAGGCGAGTTAGCTAGCCAATCAAGCACAGTAGTCCCACGGTCATTGAACCAGGCTTTGGTGCTTTTGGCAGTGTCAGCATCCCCATAAAGCTTGTCTGTGGAAGGAAGCATTAGGTGCTCCAAAATCTCCAGGTAGACAGCTGCATTGACCCTGGACTTAATGAAGCACAGTGGACCAACACCAACAGATGACACCAAGTCAACACAGACTGTGGAAACTTCACACTGGACTTCAAGCATCTTGCAGTGTGTGCCTCTCCATTCTTCGTCCATTCTTTCCAAATGAGATGCAAAAGTTGCTCTCATCAGAAAAGAGGACTTTGGACCACTGAGCAACAGACCAGGTCTGTTTTTCTTTAGCCCAGGTAAGATGCTTCTGACATTGTTTGTTGTTCAGGAGCGGCTTGACAAGAGGAATACGACATCTGAAGCCCATGTCCAGGATCTGTCTGTGTGTGGTGGCTCTTGATGCACTGACTCCAGCCTCAGTCCACTCCTTGTGAAAGTCCACAACACATTTGAATGGCCTTTTCCTGACAATCCTCTCCAGGCTGCGGTCATCCCTGCTGCTTGTGCACCTTTTTCTTCCATACGTTTCCCTTCCACAGATCTTTCTATTAATGTGCTTTGATACAGCACTTTGGGAACATCCAACTTCCTTCGCAATTACCTTTTGAGGCTTTCCCTCCTTATGGAGGGTGTCAGTGATGGTTTTCTGCACAACTGTCAGGTCAGCAGTCTTCCCCATGATTGTGATTCCTACTGAACCAGACTGAGAGACCATTTAAAGGCTCAGAAACCCTTTGCAGGTGTTATGGCTTACTGAGCTGATTAGAGTGGGACACTGTGAGCCTAGAATATTGCACCTTTTCACAATATTCTAATTTACTGAGATTGTGGATTTGGGGTTTTCATGAGCTGTAAGCCATAATCATCGCACTTATGACAAATCACGGCTTGAACTATCTTGCTTTGCATGTAATGCGTCTATCTCATATATTAGTTTCCCCTTTTACGTTGCATTACTGAAATAAATGAACATTTGCACGAAATTCGAATTTTTTGAGTATCAGCTATATGTGTCTGCATGTGATATATAACTGGACTATATGTGTCTGTATGTGATATATAACTGAGCTATATGTGTCTGTATGTGATATATTACTGGACTATATGTGTCTGTATGTGATATATAACTGAGCTATATGTGTCTGTATGTGATATATAACTGAGCTATATGTGTCTGTATGTGATATATTACTGGACTATATGTGTCTGTATGTGATATATAACTGGGCTATATGTGTCTGTATGTGATGATATATAACTGGGCTATATGTGTCTGTATGTGATATATAACTGAGTTATATGTGTCTGTATGTGATATATAACTGGACTATATGTGTCTGTATGTGATATATAACTGGGCTATATGTGTCTGTATGTGATGATATATAACTGGGCTATATGTGTCTGTATTTGATATATAAGTGGGCTATATGTGTCTGTATGTGACATATAACTGAGCTATATGTGTCTGTATTTGATTTATAACTGAACTATATGTGTCTGTATGTAATATATAACTGAGTTATATGTGTCTGTATGTGATATATTACTGGACTATATGTGTCTGTATGTGATATATAACTGGGCTATATGTGTCTGTATGTGATATAAAACTGAGCTACATGTGTCTGTATGTGATATATAACTGGGCTACATGTGCCTGTATGTGATATATAACTGGGCTATATGTGTCTGTATGTGATATATAACTGGCTATATGTGTCTGTATTTGATTTATAACTGGCTATATGTGTCTGTATGTGATATATTACTGAGTTATATGTGTCTGTATGTGATATATAAGTGGGTTATATGTGTCTGTATTTGATTTATAACTGGCTATATGTGTCTGTATGTGATATATAACTGAGCTATATGTGTCTGTATGTGATATATAACTGGCTATATGTGTCTGTATGTGATATATAACTGAGCTATATATGTCTGTATGTGATATATAACTGGCTATATGTGTCTGTATGTGATATATAACTGAGCTATATGTGTCTGTATGTGATATATAACTGGGCTATATGTGTCTGTATGTGATATATAACTGGCTATATGTGTCTGTATGTGATATATAACTGGCTATATGTGTCTGTATGTGATATATAACTGCGCTATATATGTCTGTATGTGATATATAACTGCGCTATATGTGTCTGTATGTGATGTAAAACTGGGCTATATGTGTCTGTGATATATAAGTGGGCTATATATGTCTGTATTTGATTTATAACTGGCTATATGTGTCTGTATGTGATATATTACTGAGCTATATGTGTCTGTATGTAATATATAACTGGGCTATATGTGTCTGTATGTGATATATTACTGGACTATATGTGTCTGTATGTGACATAACTGGGCTATATGTGTCTGTATGTAATATATAAGTTGGCTAAATAAATCTGTATTTGATTTATAACTGGCTATATGTCTCTGTATGTGATATATAACTGAGTTATATGTGTCTGTATGGGATATATAAGTGGGCTATATGTGTCTGTATGTGATATATTACTGGACTAATATGTGGGCTATATGTGTCTGTATGTGATATATTACTGGACTATATGTGTCTGTATGTGATATATAACTGAGCTATATGTGTCTGTATGTAATATATAACTGGGCTATATGTGTCTGTATGTGATATATTACTGGACTATATGTGTCTGTATGTGATATATAACTGAGCTATATGTGTCTGTATGTGATATATTACTGGACTATATGTGTCTGTATGTGATATATAACTGAGTTATATGTGTCTGTATGGGATATATAACTGGGCTATATGTGTCTGTATGTGATATATTACTGGACTATACAGGGAGTGCAGAATTATTAGGCAAGTTGTATTTTTGAGGATTAATTTTATTATTGAACAACAACCATGTTCTCAATGAACCCAAAAAACTCATTAATATCAAAGCTGAATATTTTTGGAAGTAGTTTTTAGTTTGTTTTTAGTTATAGCTATGTTAGGGGGATATCTGTGTGCAGGTGACTATTACTGTGCATAATTATTAGGCAACTTAACAAAAAACAAATATATACCCATTTCAATTATTTATTATTACCAGTGAAACCAGTATAACATCTCAACATTCACAAATATACATTTCTGATATTCAAAAACAAAACAAAAACAAATCAGTGACCAATATAGCTACCTTTCTTTGCAAGGACACTCAAAAGCCTGCCATCCATGGATTCTGTCAGTGTTTTGATCTGTTCACCATCAACATTGCGTGCAGCAGCAACCACAGCCTCCCAGACACTGTTCAGAGAGGTGTACTGTTTTCCTCCTTGTAAATCTCACATTTGATGATGGACCGCAGGTTCTCAATGGGGTTCAGATCAGGTGAACAAGGAGGCCATGTCATTAGATTTTCTTCTTTTATACCCTTTCTTGCCAGCCACGCTGTGGAGTACTTGGACGCGTGTGATGGAGCATTGTCCTGCATGAAAATCATGTTTCTTGAAGGATGCAGACTTCTTCCTGTACCACTGCTTGAAGAAGGTGTCTTCCAAGAACTGGCAGTAGGACTGGGAGTTGAGCTTGACTCCATCCTCAACCCGAAAAGGCCCCACAAGCTCATCTTTGATGATACCAGCCCAAACCAGTACTCCACCTCCACCTTGCTGGCGCCTGAGTCGGACTGGAGCTCTCTGCCCTTTACCAATCCAGCCACGGCCCATCCATCTGGCCCATCAAGACTCACTCTCATTTCATCAGTCCATAAAACCTTAGAAAAATCAGTCTTGAGATATTTCTTGGCCCAGTCTTGACGTTTCAGCTTGTGTGTCTTGTTCAGTGGTGGTCGTCTTTCAGCCTTTCTTACCTTGGCCATGTCTCTGAGTATTGCACACCTTGTGCTTTGGGCACTCCAGTGATGTTGCAGCTCTGAAATATGGCCAAACTGGTGGCAAGTGGCATCGTGGCAGCTGCACGCTTGACTTTTCTCAGTTCATGGACAGTTATTTTGCGCCTTGGTTTTTCCACACGCTTCTTGCAACCCTGTTGACTATTTTGAATGAAACGCTTGATTGTTCGATGATCACGCTTCAGAAGCTTTGCAATTTTAAGAGTGCTGCATCCCTCTGCAAGATATCTCACTATTTTTGACTTTTCTGAGCCTGTCAAGTCCTTCTTTGGACCCATTTTGCCAAAGGAAAGGAAGTTGCCTAATAATTATGCACACCTGATATAGGGTGTTGATGTCATTAGACCACACCCCTTCTCATTACAGAGATGCACATCACCTAATATGCTTAATTGGTAGTAGGCTTTCGAGCCTATACAGCTTGGAGTAAGACAACATGCATAAAGAGGATGATGTGGTCAAAATACTCATTTGCCTAATAATTCTGCACTCCCTGTATGTGTCTGTATGTGACATATAACTGAGCTATATGTGTCTGTATTTGATTTATAACTGAGCTATATGTGTCTGTATGTAATATATAACTGAGTTATATGTGTCTGTATGTGATATATTACTGGACTATATGTGTCTGTATGTGATATATAACTGGGCTATATGTGTCTGTATGTGATATAAAACTGAGCTACATGTGTCTGTATGTGATATATAACTGGGCTATATGTGCCTGTATGTGATATATAACTGGGCTATATGTGTCTGTATGTGATATATAACTGGCTATATGTGTCTGTATTTGATTTATAACTGAGCTATATGTGTCTGTATGTAATATATAACTGAGTTATATGTGTCTGTATGTGATATATTACTGGACTATATGTGTCTGTATGTGATATAAAACTGAGCTACATGTGTCTGTATGTGATATATAACTGGGCTATATGTGTCTGTATGTGATATATTACTGAGTTATATGTGTCTGTATGTGATATATAAGTGGGTTATATGTGTCTGTAATTGATTTATAACTGGCTATATGTGTCTGTATGTGATATATAACTGAGCTATATGTGTCTGTATGTGATATATAACTGAGCTATATATGTCTGTATGTGATATATAACTGGCTATATGTGTCTGTATGTGATATATAACTGAGCTATATGTCTGTATGTGATGATATATAACTGGCTATATGTGTCTGTATGTGATATATAACTGCGCTATATATGTCTGTATGTGATATATAACTGCGCTATATGTGTCTGTATGTGATGTAAAACTGGGCTATATGTGTCTGTGATATATAAGTGGGCTATATATGTCTGTATTTGATTTATAACTGGCTATATGTGTCTGTATGTGATATATTACTGAGCTATATGTGTCTGTATGTAATATATAACTGGGCTATATGTGTCTGTATGTGATATATTACTGGACTATATGTGTCTGTATGTGACATAACTGGGCTATATGTGTCTGTATGTAATATATAAGTTGGCTAAATAAATCTGTATTTGATTTATAACTGGCTATATGTCTCTGTATGTGATATATAACTGAGTTATATGTGTCTGTATGGGATATATAAGTGGGCTATATGTGTCTGTATGTGATATATTACTGGACTAATATGTGGGCTATATGTGTCTGTATGTGATATATTACTGGACTATATGTGTCTGTATGTGATATATAACTGAGCTATATGTGTCTGTATGTAATATATAACTGGGCTATATGTGTCTGTATGTGATATATTACTGGACTATATGTGTCTGTATGTGATATATAACTGAGCTATATGTGTCTGTATGTGATATATTACTGGACTATATGTGTCTGTATGTGATATATAACTGAGTTATATGTGTCTGTATGGGATATATAACTGGGCTATATGTGTCTGTATGTGATATATTACTGGACTATATGTGTCTGTATGTGACATATAACTGGGCTATATGTGTCTGTATGTGATATATTACTGGACTATATGTGTCTGTATGTGATATATAAGTGGGCTATATGTGTCTGTATTTGATTTATAACTGAGCTATATGTGTCTGTATGTAATATATAACTGAGTTATATGTGTCTGTATGTGATATATTACTGCACTATATGTGTCTGTATTTGATATATAACTGGGCTACATGTGTCTGTATGTGATATATAAGTGGGCTAAATATATCTGTATTTGATTTATAACTGGCTATATGTCTCTGTATGTGATATATAACTGAGTTATATGTGTCTGTATGTGATATATTACTGCACTATATGTGTCTGTATTTGATATATAACTGGGCTACATGTGTCTGTATGTGATATATAAGTGGGCTAAATATATCTGTATTTGATTTATAACTGGCTATATGTCTCTGTATGTGATATATAACTGAGTTATATGTGTCTGTATTTGATTTATAACTAGCTATATGTGTCTGTATGTGATATATAACTGGGCTATATGTGTCTGTATTTGATTTATAACTAGCTATATGTGTCTGTATGTGATATATAACTGAGCAATATGTGTCTGTATGTGATATATAACTGGGCTATATGTGTCTTTATGTGATATATAACTGAGCTATATGTGTCTGTATTTGATTTATAACTGGCTATATGTGTCTGTATGTGATATATAACTGAGTTATATGTGTCTGTATGTGATATATAACTGGGCTATATGTGTCTGTATGTAATATATAACTGGGCTATATGTGTCTGTATGTGACATATAACTGGGCTATATGTGTCTGTATGTGACATATAACTGGGCTACATGTGTCTGTATGTGATATATAAGTGGGCTAAATATGTGTCTGTATGTGATATATAACTGAGCTATATGTGTCTGTATTTGATTTATAACTGGCTATATGTGTCTGTATGTGATATATAACTGGGCTATATGTGTCTGTATGTGATATATAACTGCGCTATATATGTCTGTATGTGATATATAACTGCGCTATATGTGTCTGTATGTGATGTAAAACTGGGCTTTATGTGTCTGTGATATATAAGTGGGCTATATGTGTCTGTATGTGATATATAACCGGCTATATGTGTCTGTATGTAATATATAACTGGGCTATATGTGTCTGTATGTGACATATAACTGGGCTATATGTGTCTGTATGCGACATATAACTGGGCTACATGTGTCTGTATGTGATATATAAGTGGGCTAAATATGTGTCTGTATGTGATATATAACTGAGCTATATGTGTCTGTATTTGATTTATAACTGGCTATATGTGTCTGTATGTGATATATAACTGAGTTATATGTGTCTGTATGTGATATATAACTGGGCTATATGTGTCTATATGTGATGTATAACTGGGCTATATGTGTCTATATGTGATATATAACTGGGCTATATGTGTCTGTATGTGATATATTACTGAGTTATATGTGTCTGTATGTGATATATAAGTGGGCTATATGTGTCTGTATTTGATTTATAACTGGCTATATGTGTCTGTATGTGATATATTACTGAGTTATATGTGTCTGTATGTGATATATAAGTGGGCTATATGTGTCTGTATGTGATATATAACTGAGCAATATGTGTCTGTATGTGATATATAACTGGACTATATGTGTCTGTATGTGATATATAACTGAGCAATATGTGTCTGTATGTGATATATAACTGAGCTATATGTGTCTGTATGTGATATATAACTGGCTATATGTGTCTATATGTGATATATAACCGGCTATATGTGTCTGTATGTGATATATAACTGAGCTATATGTCTGTATATGATTTATAACTGGCTATATGTGTCTGTATGTGATATATAACTGAGCTATATGTGTCTGTATGTAATATATAACTGGGCTATATGTGTCTGTATGTGATAAATTACTGGACTATATGTGTCTGTATGTGACATAACTGGGCTACATGTGTCTGTATGTAATATATAAGTTGGCTAATTATATCTGTATTTGATTTATAACTGGCTATATGTCTCTGTATGTGATATATAACTGAGTTATATGTGTCTGTATGTGATATATTACTGGACTATATGTGTCTGTATGTGATATATTACTGGACTTTATGTGTCTGTATGTGATATATAAGTGGGCTATATGTGTCTGTATTTGATTTATAACTGAGCTATATGTGTCTGTATGTGATATATTACTGGACTATATGTGTCTGTATTTGATATATAACTGGGCTATATGTGTCTGTATGTGATATATAAGTGGGCTAAATATATCTGTATTTGATTTATAACTGGCTATATGTCTCTGTATGTGATATATAACTGGGCTATATGCGTCTGTATTTGATTTATAACTAGCTATATGTGTCTGTATGTGATATATAACTGAGCAATATGTGTCTGTATGTGATATATAACTGGGCTATATGTGTCTGTATGTGATATATAACTGAGCTATATGTGTCTGTATTTGATTTATAACTGGCTATATGTGTCTGTATGTGATATATAACTGAGTTATATGTGTCTGTATGTGATATATAACCGGCTATATGTGTCTGTATTTGATTTATAACTAGCTATATGTGTCTGTATGTGATATATAACTGAGCAATATGTGTCTGTATGTGATATATAACTGGGCTATATGTGTCTGTATGTAATATATAACTGGGCTATATGTGTCTGTATGTGACATATAACTGGGCTATATGTGTCTGTATGTGACATATAACTGGGCTACATGTGTCTGTATGTGATATATAAGTGGGCTAAATATGTGTCTGTATGTGATATATAACTGAGCTATATGTGTCTGTATTTGATTTATAACTGGCTATATGTGTCTGTATGTGATATATAACTGGGCTATATGTGTCTATATGTGATGTATAACTGGGCTATATGTGTCTATATGTGATATATAACTGGGCTATATGTGTCTGTATGTGATATATTACTGAGTTATATGTGTCTGTATGTGATATATAAGTGGGCTATATGTGTCTGTATGTGATATATAACCGGCTATATGTGTCTGTATGTAATATATAACTGGGCTATATGTGTCTGTATGTGACATATAACTGGGCTATATGTGTCTGTATGCGACATATAACTGGGCTACATGTGTCTGTATGTGATATATAAGTGGGCTAAATATGTGTCTGTATGTGATATATAACTGAGCTATATGTGTCTGTATTTGATTTATAACTGGCTATATGTGTCTGTATGTGATATATAACTGGGCTATATGTGTCTATATGTGATGTATAACTGGGCTATATGTGTCTATATGTGATATATAACTGGGCTATATGTGTCTGTATGTGATATATTACTGAGTTATATGTGTCTGTATGTGATATATAAGTGGGCTATATGTGTCTGTATTTGATTTATAACTGGCTATATGTGTCTGTATGTGATATATAACTGAGCAATATGTGTCTGTATGTGATATATAACTGGCTATATGTGTCTATATGTGATATATAACCGGCTATATGTGTCTGTATGTGATATATAACTGGGCTATATGTGTCTATATGTGATATATAACTGGGCTATATGTGTCTGTATTTGATTTATAACTGGCTATATGTGTCTATATGTGATATATAACTGGGCTATATATGTCATGTAGGCCTCACCATTCAGCCTGAACCAGCGTTTCGGGCTGGCTAATATCAATTATGTGCCATTTATTGACTAGGAGTGGCCAGCTGACACTCTCAGCCAATAAATGATGACTAGATTGGCTTCTGGCTTGGTTTACTACATTACTGGATAACTGGACCAGGGTACTCCTGGTACCATAGACACAGTGGTCTGTAGTGGTTATGGTGCATAAAGTAACCCCTTAGGGTAAATCAATGTCACACTTACACAAGTCTTTTTGCCATAGTCTGGTGGGTCACATAGAAACACATGCTTATACATTAGGGTCTCCTGTGATCAATATACAATGAAGGCCTTTTAGTAAAGTCGGAATAACCAAGTATTCAATGGGACGACCAAAATAACTGGAAAATTCCACACTCTTCAGTTTTCAATTCAACTCTTAAAATGAACTTTCAAAAAACATAATTTCCTTTGATTTCACTTTAATTCTGTACGATTTCCACTTTAGTGAGAGCCCTTGTAATGCTGTGTGCACAGATGTGTACCATTAATTGTTATGACATTGTAACAAACTGAGTTTAGACCATATTTGAATGTGCTGCAGTTTGTAGTTATGATTGTGTCTTGTTATAGAATGTGTGTAACACAAACAGAATCTGTCAATTAATATGTAAACAATTTGCCTACACAATGAACACACGTGTGTGATTTAATTTCTTGGGAATCTGTAAATGAGGATTAAGATGGGCCAAGCGCTCTATAGCAGTGATTATTTGTAGCTATTCTCCAACTTTCAGTGTGTGTCGTCAGATTGAACAATTGGTACTTTTACAAACGTAAAAAAAAAAATGACAGACTCCAGACACATAAAGAACGTCAACAAGCTATGTGGACTGTATGGAGTGTTCCCTTAATATTCGCCGTTATTAACGTAACTACACAAAGCACTAGTGCATAACTCCCAACATTGAAAGGAATACAATTGGGATACGCTGGCCAGTCTGAGGGGGCATCACCACTGACAAGTCTTGCATCACAGGTGGGACAATAGGGAACTAAATCGAGAAGGCGGGCCAGGACCCTGAAAATTCCACTGAATAAAATTATACATTGTACATTGATCTTTGTACCTTGATTTCTGGTGTTTTACACATATTTACTACACGTATCTGTAACAATTTTGTTTCAGCTAGTCATTTTATTTTCAGCTAGTTTGCGTCTATTTGTGGCATGTGGCATGTGGCGACCTACCAGTGGTTTGGTTACTGGTTGCTGGCCCATATTACACAGAATTAAAGAATTTCTCTGTACTGGGGAAAGGGTAGCAAGGAAAAAAGGACAGAAGCTTATTTGTTAATGCGTAGCAGAAATTTGGATTTTTGGGGATGAATCATCGGATCTTCTTATAATGTACAGTGGAATAATATACGTGTTTTGTACTATATACTGTATAGAAAAAAATATATAATATAACTCAGACATGGGTTTCATACAGAAAACAAGACAACCCAATGTTCCTGCACTGACACTTGGATACTTACCTACACAGTCCGTCCTCCATAAGTTGTTACCTAAAACACAGTTTTTTGATGATTCAAATACCAGCTTTAACCTGTTTTCTAAAGGAGAATTTCAGCCAATAAATGACTTTAAATATAGATGAAATTGATAACTTCTAAGCCTCAGCGACCCCTGGTGTTGGCCAAATCATGCAGAAATGAACATGAACTGACTGATGGTGCATCATAACCACAGCAATGACATGTAGTGGTTATGGTGTTCAGACTGCCCTTTAAATAATGTAAGCAATCTTATGTTATTAATATCAGCCTTTTTATTTGTTTATTTCCTTTTGTTATATAAATATGTAGATATATTCAAATAATTTTGACTGCATACTCTGCTAGTATCAATTAGTTATTCATACTGTTTATTCCTTAGCTGAATACATATCAGGATTTATTAACTAAACACAGTATTGTAGGAGATTAAAAACCAAGAATTGCAGAACTGGGTTAACAAAAGCACATTCTGAATGGATCTGAGGTGAAGAATTTCCATAACTTTTTTGGCCTCAGTTTTGTAGTTTGATTTTCAGTTCCATATAATTCAATGTTTGATTATTTAGTTTGCATTAACCCGTATGGGGCTGTAGGTTTAGAGAGGCCTAACTGCACATATTGCACTTTTATTGCACCATGTATGACATCGAAGGATTTAGATTGGCTAAACACTAAACTGGGGCTCAAAATAACACGTTTGTTAAGGTATTAATCATAAAAGTTTTTGCACTGCATGAGCACTTTATAACACAAATTGGATTCTGGTTGTAATTTGAATTTTTTCGAACGTTGGGACACTCCTGAAAGTGAAATTTCTCAAATCACTTGTTGGTTTTTTTTAAGCACTACATTATAATCGTATATCTTATGTTTTTAGAGTGTTTTTGAGGTTGACATTGGACTGTGGTTAGTAGCTCAGAGATTTAAGATACACCATTACAAATTATTTTAAAGAACTTTTTATATACCTCAACATCACTAAATTGTGGCTACTTGACAACCAGCTGGCAATATTTAAATATAAATCTCTGATCGAGCTGTAGAGTTGTATACATTTTTTCGAGATTCCCCGCTAGTTTGGTTACTTTTTTCCTTAATTCTGAAAGCCTGATATTAAAAGCCAGTCCTCCAAATGTGAAACCGTATAGAGCTGTGTGAGTTCCCATACTCCTCCGAGAAAAATCATGTGTTTTGCTTCCTCATGTTTCTGCTGTCTTGAATCCAAACTACCAAACCAGCGGCTTTTGGAAAAAACAGTTCCCAGGCTTTGTCCCCCGCTGGCGAGATCCTTGTCGATTGAGATGCAGGAACAAATACTGATGGTTGATGGGATCAGTCAGGAATCTTGGCAAATAGATTATATTTTCTATTTTGATCTCTAGTAAAATAAACCAGATTGTGATATGCGTTCAGTTGGAGCCACTGTGTTGGGCCTTCCATAATCTGGAGATTATAGTGTTACAGTGTTAAATATAAAGAAAGATTCTCCTGGTTTTCCACGGCTAATCATAATGCATTTTCCATTTCAGCTTTTAGTAGTGAAACAGCACTGATTTCGGAGACTGGAGCAGTATTGTTTACTAAACAGTTACATTGAGGTGAGAGCAGTATCATTTTGAAGACAGTTACATTGAGGTAAGAGCAGTATCATTGTGAAGACAGTTACATTGAGGTGAGAGCAGTATCATTGTGAAGACAGTTACATTGAGGTGAGAGCAGTATCATTTTGAAGACAGTTACATTGAGGTGAGAGCAGTATCATTTTGAAGACAATTACATTGAGGTGAGAGCAGTATCATTTTGAAGACAGTTTGAAGACAGTTACATTGAGGTAAGAGAAGTATCATTTTGAAGACAGTTACACTGAGGTGAGAGCAGTATCATTTTGAAGACAGTTACATTGAGGTGAGAGCAGTATCATTTTGAAGACAGTTACATTGAGGTGAGAGCAGTATCATTTTGAAGACAGTTTGAAGACAGTTACATTGAGGTAAGAGAAGTATCATTTTGAAGACAGTTACACTGAGGTGAGAGCAGTATCATTTTGAAGACAGTTTGAAGACATATAGTTACATAGTTACATAGCTGAAAAGAGATTTGCGTCCATCAAGTTCTGCCTACCTCACATTTGTTTTTTGCTGTTGATCCAAAAGAAGGCAAAAAAAAACATTTTGAAGCACAATTTTGCAACAAGCTAGGAAAAAAATTCCTTCTTGACCCCAGAATGGCAGTCAGATTTATCCTTGGATCAAGCGGTTATTACCCTACATTGAAAGATTATATCCTTGAATATTCTGTTCTTGCAAGTATGCATCTAGTAGCCGTTTGAACATCTGTATGGACTCTGATAAAACCACTTCCTCAGGCAGAGAATTCCACATCCTGATTGTTCTTACAGTAAAAAAACCTTTCCTTTGCCTTAGGCGAAATCTTCTTTCTTCCAGTCTAAGCGCATGGCCTCGTGTCCTATGTAAAGTCCGGTTTGTGAATAGATTTCCACACAATGGTTTGTATTGGCCCCGAATATATTTGTATAATGTTATCATATCCCCTCTCAGGCGACGTTTTTCTAAACTAAATTGGTTTAAATTTGTTAACCTTTCTTCATAGCCGATATGTTCCATTCCTTTTATTAGTTTTGTAGCCCGCCTCTGCACTTTTTCTAGTGCCATAATATCCTTCTTTAGAACAGGTGCCCAAAATTGCACAGCATATTCAATATGGGATCTTACCAGTGATTTATAAAGAGGCAAAATTATATTCTTGTCTCGAGAATGAATGCCCTATTTCATGCATGACAATACTTTACTGGCCTTGGCCACTGCTGATTGACATTGTTGCATAGTTTGTTGTCTATAACAATTCCCAAGTCCTTTTCATGTGTCGTTATCCCTAATTCGCTTCCATTAAGGGTATACGTTGCTTGTGTATTCTTTACGCCGAAGTGCATAACTTTGCATTTTTCAACATTAAATTTCATCTGCCATTTGAGTGCCCAGTGCCCCAGTCTATCTAAATCCCTCTGCAGCAAAGTAATATCTTGCTCACATTGTATTGTTTTACAAAGTTTGGTGTCATCTGCAAACACTGAAAAATGACTTTCAATGCGGTCTTCAAGATCATTTATAAACATGTTAAATAGAAGGGGTCCCAGAACAGACCCCTGAGGGACACCACTTGCTACCTCTGTCCAGCTTGAAAATTTACCATTAATGACAACTCTTTGTACTCTGTTTTTAAGAGAATGTTCTACCCAAGAACAAGCATTTTCATCTAGACCGATTTCCTTGAGTTTGAACACTAATCTATTGTGTGAAACTGTATCAAATGCCTTGGCAAAATCCAAATAGATCACATCCACGGCAACACCCTGATCTATACTTCTACTTACATCTTCGTAGAACGCAATCAAGTTAGTTTGACATGATCTGTGCTTCATAAAAGCGTGCTGATTTTTGCTAATAACCATGTTCTTCTTGAATATTATCCCTTAATAACCTTTCAAATATTTTACCAGCAACAGAAGTTAAGCTCACAGGTCTATAATTTCCAGGCAAGAATTTTGAACCCTTTTTGCTTATAGGAACCACATCTGCCTTCCTCCAATCCTCCGGAACACTTCCTGAAAGAAAAGAATCTTGAAAGATTAAAAACAGAGGTTCACTTATTTCTGCACTTAGTTCCTTAAGTACACGTGGATGGATACCGTCAGGCCCTGGAGCTTTGTTTATATTAACTTTCTTTAGTTGCTGCAGCACCTTGTCTTGAGTTAACCAATTACAATTATTCTGCAAGTTTTTAGTAGCAATCATTTGCACATCTATTGCCATGGGTTCTTCCTTAATATATACGGAGGAGAAAAAGTTATTTAAAATTCCTGCCTTTTCCTGGTCTTCATTAATTAACACCCCCGTTTCAGTTTTTAGTGTACCTACACTTTCATTTTGTTTTTTTTTAGAATTTATGTACTTAAAAAATGCTTTGGGGTTGGTTTTGCTCTCTTCAGCTATCATTATTTCATTTTGAAGTTTAGCAAGTCTAATTGCCTTTTTGCACGCATTATTTGCATCCTTATATCTTTTATAAGATGCATCTGATTTGTCCGATTTAAATGCTTTAAATGCCCTTTTCTTAGTTGTAATCTCTTGTTTTACTTCTCTACTAAGCCATGTTGGTTTTAATTTGTTTCTTTTATATTTATTTCCCAATGGTACATACTGAGAAATGTACCTTTGTAATATTTGTTGGAAGATGATCCATTTATCCTCAGTGTTCTTTTCACTAAAAGAGTTTATGCCAGTCAATATATTGTAAAGCTTCCCTTAACTTATTGAAATTGGCCTTTTTAAAATGATATGTTTTAGTATTCCCCATGTGCTTTTGTTTTTTTGAGTTTATTTCAAAGGACACTATATTGTGATCACTATTTCCCAAGTGCTCACCTACTTGAATGTTGGTCAAAAGATCAACGTTGTTTGTTAAAACCAGGTCCAGACAAGCATCCATTCTAGTTGGTGCTTGTACAAGTTGTGACATGAAGGTGTCATTTAACAAGTTTAAAAACCTAATTCCCTTTGCTGAGGCACTAGTCCCTCTGTCCCAATTTATATCCGGCTAATTAAAATCTCCAATAATTAAAGTGTTACCCAGATTTGCAGCTTTCTCAATTTGCTCAAACAGCTGTTGTTCCACATCAATATTAACATTAGGTGGTTTATAACATATCCCAACCAATAGTTTGTTTCCCTTCTTTTCCCCCAAGCAGATATTTACCCATAAAGCTTCCACATTTTCCTCCTCGCATTCCATTTGCTTAACATTTGGCTTTAAATCATGTTTGACATACAAACATACCCCACCACCCTTCTTGTTTTTCCTATCCTTCCTAAATAACATGTACCCATTTAAGTTAGCTGCCCAGTCATGTGTCTCATCCCACCATGTTTCAGTTATGCCTATTATATCATATTGTTTAGTGCATGCTAATGCCTCTAGTTCCCCCATTTTGTTATTTAGGTTCCTTGCATTAGTAAGCATACATTTAATATTATGCGTCACTTGTATATTTTGTGAATTTTCACCATTACACAGCTTCTCTGTTCTGAGCTTGCCCCTCCCCCCGTTTCCACCCCCTTATACTGTGCTAAAGCCCATCTCCTTTCTGTCCTATCTCCATTTTGTAGATTGCTATGACCCTCCCCCCCTACTACTGGTTTAAAATCTCCTCCAACCTTCTAGCCATCCTATCCCCCAGCACTGCAGACCCTCTCCCGTTTAGGTGCAATCCATCACCACTATAAAGGTTGTACCCAATCGCAAAGTCGGCCCAGTGCTCTAAAAACACAAAACCCTCCTTCCTGCACCAAGACTTAAGCCACACATTGACCTCTCTTATCTCCCGCTGCCTTTCCACTGTAGCGTGTGGCACAGGTAATATCTCAGAGAATACCACCTTGGAGGTCCTTTTCTTAAGTTTGCTACCTAATACCCTGACAGTTACATTGAGGTAAGAGCAGTTTCATTTTGAAGACAGTTACATTGAGGTGAGAGCAGTATCGTTGTGAAGACAGTTACATGGAGGTAAGAGAAGTATCATTTTGAAAACAGTTTGAAGACAGTTACATTGAGGTAAGAGCCGTATCATTTTAAAGACAGTTACATTGTGGTAAGGGCAGTATCATTTTGAAATAGGTGCAGTATAATAGTTACATAGTTACATAGGCTGAAAAGAGACTTGCGTCCATCAAGTTCAGCCTTCCTTGCATTTATTTTTTGCCGTTGATCCAAAACAAGGCAGAAAACCCCAGTTTGAAGCACTTCCAATTTAAAACAAACTAGGAAATAAATCCTTCTTGACCCCAGAATGGCAGTTAGATTAATCCTTGGATTGAAAATAATATCTGTGAATATTCTGTTTTTGCAAGTATGCATCTAGTAGCTGTTTGAACATCTGTATGGACTCTGATAAAACCACTTCTTCAGGCAGAGAATTCCACATCCTTATTGTTCTGACAGTTAAAAAAAATGAATTAAAAAAATTATTTTGCATTAGACAAAATCGTCTTCCTTCCAGTCTCAAAGCACGACCTTGTGTCCTTTGTACAGTCCTGTTTGTGACTAGATTTCCAGAGAATGGTTTGTTTTGGCATCGGGTATATTTGTATAACGTTATCATATCATCTCTGAGGTGATGTTTTTCTTCATAGCTAAAATGTTCCATTCCTTTTCTTAATTTTGTAGCCCGTCTCTGCACTTATTCTTGTGCCATAATATCCTTATTATTTTGAGATTATTGTAGTATTTTGAGGCTGGTGTATTTTTATTTTGAGGTAGTAGTAGTTTGACGTTGGAGTAGTATTATTTTGAGGTTGTTGCAGTATTTTGACGTTGGAGCAGTATTATTTAGAGTTTGTAGTATTTTGATGTTGGAGCAGTATTATTTTGATGTTGTAGTATTTTGAAGCTGGAGCAGTATTATTTTGAGGTGGTATTTTGATGTTGGAGCAGTATTATTTTGAGATTGTTGTAGTATTTTGACGTTGGAGCAGTATTATTTTGAGGTTGTAGTATTTTAAGATTGTTGTAGTATTTTGAGGCTGGCACAGTATTATTTTAATGTTGGGGCATTATTATTGTGAGGTTGTAGCAGTATTATTTTGAGATTGTTGTAATATTTTGAGGTTGTTGTAGTATTTTGATGTTGTCGTAGTATTTTGACGTTGGAGCAGTATTATTTTGAGGTTGTAGTATTTTGACGTTGGAGCAGTATTATTTTGAGGTTGTTGTAGTATTTTGACGCTGGAGCAGTATTATTTTGAGGTTGTTGTAGTATTTTGACGTTGGAGCAGTATTATTTTGAGGTTGTTGTAGTATTTTGAGGTGGTATTTTGACGTTGGAGCAGTATTATTTTGAGATTGTTGTAGTATTTTGACGTTGGAGCAGTATTATTTTGAGGTTGTAGCATTTTGATGCTGGCGCAGTATTATTTTGAGGTTGTAGTATTTTGACGTTGGAGCAGTATTATTTATAGTTTGTAGTATTTTGACTTGGAGCAGTATTATTTTGAGGTTGTAGTATTTTGATGTTGGAGCAGTATTATTTTGAGATTGTTGTAGTATTTTTGATGCCGGAGCAGTATTATTTTGAGGTTGTTGTAGTATTTTGAGGTGGTATTTTGATGTTGGAGCAATATTATTTTGAGGTGGTATTTTGATGTTGGAGCAGTATTATTTTGAGATTGTTGTAGTATTTTGACGTTGGAGCATTTTGACGCTGGCGCAGTATTATTTTGAGGTTGTAGTATTTTGACGTTGGAGCAGTATTATTTATAGTTTGTAGTATTTTGATGTTGGAGCAGTATTATTTTGAGGTTGTAGCATTTTGATGCTGACGCAGTATTATTTTGAGGTTGTAGTATTTTGACGTTGGAGCAGTATTATTTATAGTTTGTAGTATTTTGATGTTGTAGCAGTATTATTTTGAGGTTGTAGTATTTTGGTGCTGGAGCAGTAATATTTTGAGGTTGTAGTATTTTGATGTTGGAGCAGTATTATTTTGAGATTGTTGTAGTATTTTGACTTGGAGTAGTATTATTTTGAGGTTGTAGTATTTTGGTGCTGGAGTAGTAATATTTTGAGATTGTTGTAGTATTTTGATGCCGGTGCAGTATTATTTTGAGGTTGTTGTAGTACTTTGAGGCTGGCGCAATGTTATTTTGTAATTATAGTATTTTGACATTGGAGCAGTGTTATTTTGAGCTTGTAGTATTTTGATGCTGGCGCAGTATTATTTTGAGGTTGTAGGATTTTGACACTGGAGCAGTATTATTTTGAGATTGTTGTAGTATTTTGACGTTGGAGTATTGTAGTATTTTAAGATTGTTGTAGTATTTTGAGGCTGGCACAGTATTATTTTGAGATTGTTGTAGCATTTTAATGTTGGGGCATTATTATTTTGAGGTTGTAGCAGTATTATTTTGAGATTGTTGTAGTATTTTGACGTTGGAGTATTGTAGTATTTTAAGATTGTTGTAGTATTTTGATGCTGGCGCAGTATTATTTTGAGGTTGTTGTAGCATTTTGAAGCTGGCGCAGTATTTTTTGAGGTTGTAGTATTTTGACGTTGGAACAATTTTATTTTGAGATTGTTGTAGTATTTTGACGTTGGCGCAGTATTATTTTGAGATTGTTGTAGTATTTTGACGTTGGAGTAGAATTATTTTGAGATTGTTGTAGTATTTTGAGGCTGGTGTATTTTTATTTTGAGGTTGTAGTATTTTGACGTTGTAGTATTTTGATGCTGAAGCAGTATTATTTTGATGTAGTATTTTGAAGCTGGAGCAGTATTATTTTGAGGTTGTAGTATTTTGGTGCTGGAGCAGTAATATTTAGAGATTGTTGTAGTATTTTGACGTTGGAGCAGTATTATTTTGAGGTTGTAGTATTTTGACGTTGGAGCAGTATTATTTTGAGGTTGTAGTATTTTGACGTTGGAGCAGTATTATTTTGATGTTGTAGTATTTTAATGTTGGGGCATTATTATGGTGAGGTTGTAGCAGTATTATTTTGAGATTGTTGTAATATTTTGAGGCTGTGTATTATTATTTTGAGGTTGGTATAGTATTTTGACGCTGGAGCAGTATTATTTTGAGGTTGTAGCATTTTGATGTTGGCGCAGTATTATTTTGAGGTTGTAGTATTTTGATGCTGGAGCAGTATTATAGTTTGTAGTATTTTGATGCTGGAGCAGTATTATTTTGAGATTGTTGTAGTATTTTGACGTTGAAGCAGTATTATTTTGAGATTGTAGTATTTTGATGCTGGAGCAGTATTATTTTGAGGTTGTTGTAGTATTTTGATGTTGACGCAGTATTATTTATAGTTTGCAGTATTTTGAAGATTGGAGCAGTATTATTTTGAGGTTGTAGTATTTTGAAGATTGGAGCAGTATTGTTTTGAGGATGTATTATTTTGACTTTGGAGCAGTATTATTTTGAGATTGTTGTAGTATTTTGACGTTGGAGCAGTATTATTTTGAGGTTGTAGTATTTAAGATTGGAGCAGTATTATTTTGAGGTTGTAGTATTTTGATGCTGGCACAGTATTAGTTTGAGATTGTTGAGTATTTTGATGTTGGTGCAGTATTATTTTGAGGTTGTTGTAGTATTTTGACGTTGGAGCAATATTATGTTTAGGTTGTAGTATTTTAGAAACATAGAAACATAGAATGTGACGTCAGATAAGAACCATTCGGCCCATCTAGTCTGCCCAATTTTCTAAATACTTTCATTAGTCCCTGGCCTTATCTTATAGTTATGATAGCCTTATGCCTATCCCATGAATGCTTAAACTCCTTTACTGTGTTAACCTCTACCACTTCAGCTGGAAGGCTATTCCATGCATCCACTACCCTCTCAGTAAAGTAATACTTCCTGATATTTTTAAACCTTTGTCCCTCTAATTTAGGGATTTTGACGTTGGAGCAGTATTATTTTGAGGTTGTAGTATTTTGATGCTGGAGCAGTATTATTTTGATGTAGTATTTTGACATTGGGGCAGTATTATTTTGAGGTTATAGTATTTTGAAGCTGGAGCAGTATTATTTTGAGGTTGTAGTATTTTGGTGCTGGAGCAGTAATATTTAGAGATTGTTATAGTATTTTGATGTTGGAGCAGTATTATTTTGAGGTTGTTGTAGTATTTTGACGCTGGAGCAGTATTATTTTGAGGTTGTATTTGAGCAGTATTATGTTTAGGTTGTAGTATTTTGACGTTGGAGCAATATTATTTTGAGGTTGTTGTAGTATTTTGAAGCTGGCGCAGTATTATTTTGAGGTTGTATTTGAGCAGTATTATGTTTAGGTTGTAGTATTTTGACGTTGGAGCAGTATTATTTTGAGGTTGTTGTAGTATTTTTGACGCCGGAGCAGTATTATTTTGAGGTTGATGTAGTATTTTGAGGTGGTATTTTGATGTTGGAGCAGTATTATTTTGAGATTGTTGTAGTATTTTGACGTTGGAGCAGTATTATTTTGAGGTTGTAGCATTTTGACGCTGGCGCAGTATTATTTTGAGGTTGTAGTATTTTGACGTTGGAGCAGTATTTATAGTTTGTAGTATTTTGATGTTGTAGCAGTATTATTTTGAGGTTGTAGTATTTTGGTGCTGGAGCAGTAATATTTTGAGGTTGTAGTATTTTGACTTGGAGCAGTATTATTTTGAGATTGTTGTAGTATTTTGACTTGGAGCAGTATTATTTTGAGGTTGTAGTATTTTGGTGCTGGAGTAGTAATATTTTGAGATTGTTGTAGTATTTTGATGCCGGTGCAGTATTATTTTGAGGTTGTTGTAGTACTTTGAGGCTGGCGCAATGTTATTTTGTAATTATAGTATTTTGACATTGGAGCAGTGTTATTTTGAGCTTGTAGTATTTTGATGCTGGCGCAGTATTATTTTGAGGTTGTAGTATTTTGACGTTGGAGCAGTATTATTTTGAGGTTGTAGGATTTTGACACTGGAGCAGTATTATTTTGAGATTGTTGTAGTATTTTGACGTTGGAGTATTGTAGTATTTTAAGATTGTTGTAGTATTTTGAGGCTGGCACAGTATTATTTTGAGATTGTTGTAGCATTTTAATGTTGGGGCATTATTATTTTGAGGTTGTAGCAGTATTATTTTGAGATTGTTGTATTTTGATGCTGGCGCAGTATTATTTTGAGGTTGTAGTATTTTGACGTTGGAGCAGTATTATTTTGATGTAGTATTTTGACATTGGGGCAGTATTATTTTGAGGTTGTAGTATTTTGAAGCTGGAGCAGTATTATTTTGAGGTTGTTGTAGTATTTTGATGCTGGAGCAGTAATATTTTGAGATTGCTGTAGTATTTTGACGTTGGAGCAGTATTATTTTGAGGTTGTTGTAGTATTTTGACGTTGGAGCAATATTATGTTTAGGTTGTAGTATTTTAGAAACATAGAAACATAGAATGTGACGGCAGATAAGAACCATTCGGCCCATCTAGTCTGCCCAATTTTCTAAATACTTTCATTAGACCCTGGCCTTATCTTATAGTTAGGATAGCCTTATGCCTATCCCATGAATGCTTAAACTCCTTTACTGTGTTAACCTCTACCACTTCAGCTGGAAGGCTATTCCATGCATCCACTACCCTCTCAGTAAAGTAATACTTCCTGATATTTTTAAACCTTTGTCCCTCTAATTTAGGGATTTTGACGTTGGAGCAGTATTATTTTGAGGGTGTAGTATTTTGATGCTGAAGCAGTATTATTTTGAGGTTGTAGTATTTTGATGCTGGAGCAGTATTATTTTGAGGTTGTAGTATTTTGATGCTGAAGCAGTGTTATTTTGAGGTTGTAGTATTTTGATGCTGGAGCAGTATTATTTTGAGGTTGTAGTATTTTGATGCTGGAGCAGTATTATTTTGAGGTTGTAGTATTTTGATGCTGAAGCAGTATTATTTTGAGGTTGTAGTATTTTGATGCTGGAGCAGTATTATTTTGAGGTTGTAGTATTTTGACATTGGAGCAGTATTATTTTGAGGTTGTAGTATTTTGAAGCTGGAGCAGTGTTATTTTGAGGTTGTAGTATTTTGGTGCTGGAGCAGTAATATTTAGAGATTGTTATAGTATTTTGATGTTGGAGCAGTATTATTTTGAGGTTGTTGTAGTATTTTGACGCTGGAGCAGTATTATTGAGGCATGCGCAATATTATTTTGAGGTTGTTGTAGTATTTTGAAGCTGGCGCAGTATTATTTTGAGGTTGTATTTGAGCAGTATTATGTTTAGGTTGTAGTATTTTGACGTTGGAGCAGTAATATTTTGAGATTGTTGTAGTATTTTGAAGCTGGCGCAGTATTATTTTGAGGTTGTATTTGAGCAGTATTATGTTTAGGTTGTAGTATTTTGATGTTGGAGCAGTATTATTTTGAGGTTGTTGTAGTATTTTGACGCTGGAGCAGTATTATTGAGGCATGCGCAATATTATTTTGAGGTTGTTGTAGTATTTTGAAGCTGGCGCAGTATTATTTTGAGGTTGTATTTGAGCAGTATTATGTTTAGGTTGTAGTATTTTGACGTTGGAGCAGTAATATTTTGAGATTGTTGTAGTATTTTGACGCCGGAGCAGTATTATTTTGAGGTTGTTGTAGTATTGTGATGTTGGAGCAGTATTATTTTGAGGTTGTTGTAGTATTTTTTGACGTTGGAGTAGTATTATTTAGAGTTTGTAGTATTTTGAGGCCGGCGCAGTATTATTTTGAGATTGTTGTAGTATTGTGACGTTGGAGCAGTATTATTTTGAGGTTGTTGTAGTATTTTTTCACGTTGGAGCAGTAATATTTTGAGGTTGTAGTATTTTGAGGCTGGCGCAGTATTATTTTGAGGTTGTTGTAGTATGTTGACGCTGTTGTGATATTTTGTCGTTGGAGTATTATTATTTTGAGGTTGTTGTATTTTGACGGAGTAGTATTATTTTGAGAGTGTTGTAGTATTTTGACGCTGGAGCAGTATTATTTTGAGGTAGTATTTTGAGGCTGGTGCAGTATTATTTTGAGATTCTTGCTATAAGTTGTTGCTGGAGCGGAATTATTTTGAAACAGGAGCAGTATTACTTTGACGTTCTGTCTCATGCACTTGTCCAGTTACTAATTGTAAATTGATTCTGTATTAATATACTAATAAAACTGGACTATGAATAACCTCTGCTAATTAAAGGACAACCATTACCTCAACTCTATTTTATGTTATACTATCACGAAGTTTTGAAAGATTTGCTGTTAAATGAAGTATATATTTTTGTAAAAATTAGAGAATCTCCTGCCTATTATTTATTTTCTAAATTGTATGAAAGGATATAATCACCCAAATCACTTCATCTCATTGCACGTCATGTAAAACATGTTAGAGAAACTGTAATGTTTATATTAAAGGACATGTTTACTACAGGCCAGGCTTGTTACTGACACGCTAGGCCTCGGTCAGGACACGTTTACTACAGGCCAGGCTTGTTCCTGACAGGCTAGGCCTCGGTCAGGACACGTTTACTACAGGCCAGGCTTGTTACTGACACGCTAGGCCACGGTCAGGACACGTTTACTACAGGCCAGGCTTGTTACTGACACGCTAGGCCTCGGTCAGGACACGTTTACTACAGGCCAGGCTTGTTCCTGACACGCTAGGCCTCGGTCAGGACACGTTTACTACAGGCCAGGCTTGTTCCTGACAGGCTAGGCCTCGGTCAGGACAGGTTTACTACAGGCCAGGCTTGTTACTGACACGCTAGGCCTCGGTCAGGACAGGTTTACTACAGGCCAGGCTTGTTCCTGACAGGCTAGGCCTCGGTCAGGACAAGTTTACTACAGGCCAGGCTTGTTACTGACACGCTAGGCCTCGGTCAGGACACGTTTACTACAGGCCAGGCTTGTTCCTGACAGGCTAGGCCTCGGTCAGGACACGTTTACTACAGGCCAGGCTTGTTACTGACAGGCTAGGCCTCGGTCAGGACACGTTTACTACAGGCCAGGCTTGTTACTGACACGCTAGGCCTCGGTCAGGACAGGTTTACTACAGGCCAGGCTTGTTACTGACAGTCTAGGCCTCGGTCAGGACACGTTTACTACAGGCCAGGCTTGTTACTGACAGTCTAGGCCTCGGTCAGGACAGGTTTACTACAGGCCAGGCTTGTTACTGACAGTCTAGGCCTCGGTCAGGACACGTTTACTACAGGCCAGGCTTGTTACTGACACGCTAGGCCTCGGTCAGGACACGTTTACTACAGGCCAGGCTTGTTACTGACACGCTAGGCCTCGGTCAGGACAAGTTTACTACAGGCCAGGCTTGTTACTGACACGCTAGTCCTCGGTCAGGACAGGTTTACTACAGGCCAGGCTTGTTACTGACAGTCTAGGCCTCGGTCAGGACACGTTTACTACAGGCCAGGCTTGTTACTGACACGCTAGGCCTCGGTCAGGACACGTTTACTACAGGCCAGGCTTGTTACTGACACGCTAGGCCTCGTTGTTACAGGCCACTGACACGCTAGGCCTCGGTCAGGACAAGTTTACTACAGGCCAGGCTTGTTACTGACACGCTAGGCCTCGGTCAGGACACGTTTACTACAGGCCAGGCTTGTTACTGACACGCTAGGCCTCGGTCAGGACAAGTTTACTACAGGCCAGGCTTG